TTGCCAAACCATTAGCACACATCTTCAATCTATCATTTCAAACTGGTACAGTTCCACTACAGATGAAGATAGTAAAAGTCATACCTTTATTTAAATCTGGAAACAAGCAGGAATTTACCAACTACAGACCAGTTTCTCTACTACCACAATTCTCAAAAATATTAGAACAGCTCTACAACACTAGACTGGAAAAATTCATAGGTCAACACAACCTACTCAGCGATAGTCAGTACGGTTTCAGAACAAGCAGATCAACATCACTCGCTCTGATGGACTCAATTGAAGCAATAACCAATCACATTGATCAAAGGAGAATAATAGCGGGTATATTCATAGATTTAAAAAAGGCTTTTGACACAATAAATCATCAATTACTATTTAAAAAAATTGAAAGGTATGGAATAAGAGGGGTAGCTTTAAAGTGGCTAAAAAGTTATTTAGTAAACCGAAAACAATTTGTCAAACTGGGTGAACACTGCTCTTCACATGAGGACATTGTCTGTGGCCTGCCACAAGGGTCCGTGTTAGGACCTAAATTATTTATTTATATATATTAAAGATCTATGCAACATACATTGTTTATCAAGCATTTTATTTGCAGATAAACAGATGCCACATGATGACAACCATCAATATTGGTATTGCAGTATCACTCTCGACATGGAGGAGCAGCGGCTCTACTCCGAGCTCTCAAACTCCCGTGTGACTGAGCAAACTATAACCTCAACCCTAAATCAACTCTAAGGGAGCGCCCAGCCACCTTGCGGAGGAAACTCATTTCGGCCGCTTGTATCTGCGATCTCATCCTTTCGGTCATTACCCAGAGCTCATGACCATAGGTGAGGGTGGGAACGTAGAATGACCGGTAAATCGAGAGCTTTGCCTTTCGGCTCAGCTCCCTCTTCACCACAACGGTCCGATACAGTGACCGCATCACTGCCGAAGCTGCACCGATCCACCTGTCAATCTCACGCTCCATCCTCCCCTCACTCGTGAACAAGACCCCGAGATACTTGAACTCCTCCACTTGAGACAGGGACTCTCCACCCACCCGGAGAGGGCAAGCCACCTTTTTCTGGTCCAGAACCATGGCCTCGGATTTGTAGGAGCTGATCTTCGTCCCAGCCGCTTCACACTCTGTTGCAAACCACCCCAGTGCACATTGCAGGTCCTGGTTCGATGAAGCCAACAGGACAACATCATCTGCAAACAGCAGAGATGAGATCCTGTGGTCCCCAACCCGGACCACCTCTGACCTCTGGCTGCGCCTAGAAATTCTGTCCATAAAAACAATGAACAGAACCGGTGACAAAGGGCAGCCCTGGCGGAGTCCAACATGCACCGGGAACAGGTCTGACTTACTGCCGGCAATGCGAACACAGCTCCTGCTCCGGTCATACAGGGACCGGACAGCCCTTAGCAAAGGGCCCCGGACCCCATACTCCCGGAGCACCCCCCACAGGACACCACGAGGGACACGGTCGAATGCCTTCTCCAAGTCCACAAAGCACATGTGGACTGGTTGGGCAAACTCCCATGAACCCTCGAGCACCCGATGGAGAGTGTAGAGCTGGTCCAGTGTTCCCCGGCCAGGACGAAAACCACACTGCTCCTCCTGAATACGAGGTTCGACTATCGGCCGGATTCTCCTCTCCAGCACCCTGAAATAGACCTTACCGGGGAGGCTGAGGAGTGTGATTCCCCTATAATTGAAACACACCCTCCGGTCCCCCTTCTTATACAGAGGGACCACCACCCCGGTTTGCCAGTCCAGAGGTATTGTCCCCGACCGCCACGCGATGTTGAAGAGGCGTGTCAGCCAAGATAGCCCCGAACATCCAGAGACTTAAGGTACTCAGGACGGATCTCGTCCACCCCCGGAGCCTTGCCACCAAGGAGCTTTCCAACCACCTCAGTGACTTCAGCCAGGGTGATGGATGAGTCCGCCTCCGAGTCCCCAGCCTCGGCTTCCTCCTCGGAAGACGTGACGGTGGGATTGAGGAGATCCTCAAAGTATTCCTTCCACCGCCGGACAACGTCCCCAGTCGAGGTCAACAGCTCTCCCCCCTCACTGTAAACGGTGTTGGTGAAGAACTGCTTCCCCCTCCTGAGGCGCCGGACGGTTTGCCAGAATCTCTTCGAGGCCGTCCAATAGTCCTCCTCCATGGCCTCTCCGATCTCCTCCCAGCTCCGAGTTTTTGCCTCTGCGACCGCACGGGCTGCCGCACGCTTGGCTCGTAGGTACCCATCAGCTGCCTCAGGAGTCCCACGAGCCAACAAGACCCGATAGGACTCCTTCTTCAGCTTGACGGCATCCCTTACTTCTGGTGTCCACCACCAGGTTCGGGGATTGCCGCCGTGACAGGCACCACAGACCTTACGCCCACAGCTACGAGCGGCCGCACAGACAATGGAGGTGGAGAACAGAGCCCACTCGGACTCCATGTCTCCAACCTCCCCCGGGATCTGGGAGAAGCTCTCCCGGAGGTGCGAGTTGAAAATCCTGGTGACAGAGGGTTCCGCCAGATGTTCCCAACAGACCCTCACGATACGCTTGGGTCTGCCAGATCTTTCCGGCTTCCTCCACCGCCAGCGGATCCAACTCACCACCAGGTGGTGATCAGCTGACAGCTCAGCTCCTCTCTTCACCCGAGTGTCCAAGACACTCGGCCGGAGATCAGATGACACGACTACAAAGTCGATCATCGACCTCCGGCCTAGGTTGTCCTGGTGCCATGTGCACTGATGGACACCCTTGTGCTCGAACATGGTGTTCGTTATGGACAAACTGTGACTAGCACAGAAGTCCAATAACAGAACACCACTCGGGTTCAGATCGGGGAGGCCGTTCCTCCCAATCACCCCTCTCCAGGTGTCACTGGCGTTGCCCACGTGGGTGTTGAGGTAACCCAGTAGAACAACGGAGTCCCCAGTCAGTGCACTGTCTAGTACCCCTCCCAGGGACTCAAAGAAGGCCGGGTACTCTGCACTGCTGTTCGGCCCGTAGGCCGACACCACAGTGAGAGACCTGTCCCCGACCCGAAGGTGCAGGGACGCGACCCTCTTGTTCACTGGGGTGAACTCCAACACGTGGCGGCTGAGCCGTGGGCCTATAAGCAAGCCCACACCAGCTCGCCGCTGCTCCCCGCAGGCAACACCAGAAAAATGGAGGGTCCAACCCTTCTCGAGAGGTTGGGTACCAGAGCCCAAGCTGTGCTTGGAGGTGAGCCTGACTATATCTAGCTGGTACCTCTCAACCTCCCGCACAAGCTCAGGCTCCTTCCCCCCCAGTGAGGTGACGTTCCATGTCCCTACAGCCAGTTTCTGTGTCCGTGGACTAGGTTGACAGGGTCCCTGACCCCGACCGCTGCCTAGTTCACATCGCACCCGACCCCTATGAAAGCCTCTGCGGGTGGTGAGCCCACAGGAGGGCGGGCCCCAACCCCAAGCCTGGCTCCAGGGTGGGGCCCCGGCTGCGCCATACCGGGCGACGTCACGGTCCTTAAAAAAGTAATATTCGTCCACGTTTGTAACAATGATGTAGAAATGATTACTAGTGTAGTGTTTATTACTCACTGAATAAAAAATATTTTTAAAAGTATATTAGTAGTACAAAAATTCATTCAATATTTTTTCTTGGGCCTTCACTGAATACCTTGAAGGCTCCAAACTTTCTTTCTGCTGCTCGATTACCATTTAAAATTTTCAGTGGTACAGAAGTAATGGTGCAATCGGGCAATCAGCTGACATGATACAGACAGAACAGCAGCTCTTTCTACAGGAGACATGCGCAGTGACAGTGGCACTGGAGGAACGGGAGCAGCAGATAGTGACACACAAGCCTAGAGCGCCCTCTCACGACTTAGCTTGGCTAAAGTATACTTAAATGATACAACATATACTTATGTCTTTATCTTTATCTCATAACATGCGGCCCTTATAAAATGTATCAGACTACACATTGCATTTAAGTTTATTCTATGTGAGGCTGCATGATAGTTTGGTGGTCATATATAATATGTTGCATAATATGCTCCCCCCACCAATGCTGATTTTATAACTTTGGCCACTGCTCCAATTGAGTTTTGGTATGGTAGCCCTACCTGACCAGCATTAAGATAATATTTAACATCATGATAATAAGTGAAAACATTATTAGTCACATTTAGAAACACATTTTTAGAAGGACAGGGAGGGCTCTTCTTCATGACAGATGCTGAGTTTTGGATCGACAACTATTTCTCTCAGGACATTGTGCACCTAAACAGTATGCAATGATGGCCTCTTCAAATTAAATCAAACAATAATTTCCTCAACAAACTAAATCCTAATCTAAGTCTTATTCTGCATACAAACTGCTAACCCTGAACCCTGAAGAGATTAATTAAATTATCATTACTATTTTATTTAGTCTCCATCTGTTTTTAGCTTTCCATTTGTATTTTTACTATAACCCTTAGGAGCTTTATGTTTGTGTTTTATTGTTGAATATATGCATGAAATAATGGGGTGGGGGGGTTGCTGTTGTTTTTAATATTGTCATTTTTCTGTTGCATGTGAAGCACTTTGTGCTATATCTCAAATGTATGAAAAGTGCTATACAAATAAAGTTTGTTTGATTGATTGATGGATCCGAGGGCTCTTCGTCCAGTGGTTTTTGACGCTGCGGTCTCGCTTATATGTGCTATCAGGGTGTTCGCTAAGGCCCTGAAGATGTTGTGATATGAGCTCGCCCATAACTCAATGAAATATGATTGGCCTAGACAATTTATATCAAATTTAATTCATACCCACATTAAATTGCGCGAGCTTTCGTTACAGCCACTGAAGCTTATTTTAATTGATCCATGGTTCAGCGTCACAGGCTTGCGTCTCTTTCTTTAGGGTTATAAATATATAGATTATGTAAAATATTTTAAATGAGCAAAGACACTCGAAGAAAAAATTAAGCTGAGTTGCGTAAATAGTCTAGAACAAATGTTTACTGAGCACACAACGAATGTCAATAAAAATGCAACTTTATTCAAACATTTTGAACATCATTTGTAGACAGTAGTATTAAGCCTGGCCAACAAGTAAGTGCATCTTTGTTCATTCATTTTATCAGTGCCATCTTATTTAACATAATTATGAGTCCAGCTCCATCACTAATTCAAATAACATTTTCAGTAACACAGAGGGCAAGACATAAGACTATAAATGAAGATCATATAAATTATATTACAAGTAAAAGGATTATCTACAAAGACAGAAAAAAAGAAGACAGACTAATGTTTTTCATGCAGGGACAGCAGTAGGTTTAGATTACATATAATAACATAAATGCTTTATCAGGAGCTTTAACAAGGAGTTACCAAACTGTGCACTGTCATATTAATTATTAAATTGTTACATTAAAAAACAGCTATAGTGATTTGTGTAACAAATTCTTTGAAAAGATAATAATGGAAAGTTCAACATTTGAGCAAATAGTGAAATTTTAAGTGCTAATTACAAAAATCTTCTGCTTTTCAGAACATGTCCCCAGGACATTACGATAACTCTAATTGCAATTTATCACATGGCACCTTTCAAACTGCTGTTTTGATTAATTGTCAAGTAACCTTGAGGTCCTAGTTAAATCAGAAAAAAATTTACGAAATTGAAGGGGACATATTACGTTAAATGAATGTTTATAAATTTTGAACCACCTCATTGCCTCATTACTTGTTTAGCCACAGTTTCATTATGATAATCAACAGTGATGCAACTGTGATTGTTTTAATAGTCTGACATTATCCTGAATTTGAGAAAAAATTCACCCCATATCTCCGCCCACAACTCTTAACATATGCATGAATAAACATAGGGTTCAAAAATAGTAATTTCAAAAATAAAAACACATTTACTAGAACTATTAACCTTTCTGTGATCAAGTCATTTTGGATCAACATTGCAGTTTATGGCTCATTTACGCTACATGTTCTAATCTAGATGCATACCCGTGGAGGCTTCTGTCTGTCCTTTGTCCACTGCAAAACATATATGTTATGTTTCGCTCACCTCATTTTCTTGGCTCTTTTCCCACAAATGTAATCAAAAATTGCCTTGGGTGCCTCCATATTAGTTTTTGCTTTTTTTCTTCTGTTTTGATCAATTCTCAAACTGATATTGCACGCCCTGTGGTGATTATTTAACAGAATACATATTTTACATTAGAAACGGTTGAAAGCATAAATGCAGTGACAGTTACTGCAGTCGGACTGCATGGATCTGTTTATGTAAAGAAATGGGACATAACTGAGCCTTTACAATTAATAACATGGAAATTAATGATCTACGCACCATGTAGTTCAATACTTAATACTCCAAAAAAAAAAGCATAATACGTTGTTGTTTTTTTTAACTATTGAAAAACGCCACAGAACTGAGTGGGGAGAGTGTGGAGGTCCTGGAGGTTGAACTCAGATGAGGTCAGGTCACAGTTCAAGAGGTTGGGGTCATATGAAGAAACCAGGAAGTCTTCTGCAGTGTCCGTATCACCAGGGAGCGGCATCAGAGGATCAGCCAGGAGCGCCTCCAGAGTGAGGACCTCGGGGTCAATAGTGCTTTGCTCTGGGGGGAGATTACAGGATACATTTATTAGAGTGTTTATTAGAGCTTTTCAGACACATACACAAAAGGATAATAAAGAAGTGAAAAGTTAGTATGGAAATATATTGTTGAAAATGAATACTTAATTAAATGTACACAAAAAATATTATAATTAAAGGTGCACTATGTCACTTCTGGTGAGGGAGATAGAGATGTTATTACACAGTATGGCACTGAACTATTTCCATAGAGACAAGAAGGTACAGAGCTCTTAGGCGAGGTGACAAAATAATATTGACCCCAAAAAAGTATTGTTTAGGCTTTCATGTATCAAAACAAGTTTTGTCAACTTATGTAGCTATCGTGACAGGCCTATGCCATACTGTAGAACATTCCAGGTAAAGCAATAATACACCCATGGAGACATTCATCTGACAAACCTTCTGCCGGAAATGTTACAAAGTACACCTTTAAATAACTGTATTATGTCTTTTATTGCTATGAATTGGTTAATTCAAAGTAATCATATTAAGCTATTTATTTTTTTAGAATAAATTTGATCATTTTTACCTTATTTAATAACATACGTAAAAGCATTAGATTTTTTCCCCACCATAAACTACAGTGAATCATTTGCTTGAAAGGACATTCTATCTCCATTCACACATGCAGCGTTACCCAGCAATTTGACTGAAATGTACCAGAACAGGGCCGTGTGTGAACAAAGCCAGACTGATTTTCCAGCACTTTTGATAAAGCATTTTCCTGGATCCAAACTGGGGAAAAGTCCATCAACTTTGCATGCAAGATTTATCTGTTAATGTCTTCTCTACCAGTGTATACTCTAGTACTAGAGCAATTGAATGCTGTAATGCTGTTAATGTCAAGTAATAACTACAGAAAGACTTCTTATTCATAATCAACAAAATCAGATGCAAGTGATATAGGTGTTAGTTAAGCTCACAATCCATGAAAACACCAGCACTACCTTTAATTAAACCAGTTACCACCAAGTACAGACCCTTACAGACCAGTACGAGTAAATTAAATTGTCAATTGGAAGTGTGCATAAAAGTTAACTTTGTACATATTAAAATTGTTGTACTGCTTGTGCATTATATAAATCATATCTCTAGTTCTCCAAAAAGAGCCGGAACACATTAGGCCAGTTGTTTTATTCTATAATTGTATCCATAACAAAAAATCTAACTATTAAATAGATAAATATATGCACAACTATAGAAAATAATGTACAAATTTAACTTGTCTGCAGAATCTTGCATAGCTGTTTTATTGGCTAATGGAAAAGAGACTGAAAGCATAGGAGTATTAATTTGAGTAAATATTGTATTTGGACTGCAGGTGGAGCTATGACTCACCGGCTCCGCACAGACCAGTGATTGGCTGCAGCTCTGGGCCCTGTTTCATTGCAGAGGAAGACTCCAGAGAGTTCCTATATGACAGACAGCACCACAACACTGTCAACACCACCTACATACTCATCAAGAGCCTTGTTTCCACTGGCACGGTTCGACTGGGGCCATCTTGGCACTGGCCAGTTAGGACAGGACTATCCCCACCCGGGGAGCATTTCCATTACAATGGGCCCAGGCCGCTTTGGGTGTGACACAGGTCTATAAGACACACCCAATGGTGTGACGTAGGCTTGCGCCGCCATGAGCCCCTGGACAGCTATCATAAGGCCGCTGATAAAGGAGCATCAACACTGATCTATATTCAGATATAACTAAAAAAAATGCACATGCAAATGAACCAGAGCACACAGCTGATACTCACGTGGACTGACACACGCTTTATATCAAAAGCAAGCATGCGCATGCTCTTTGTTGTTCATAAATAACTTTACTCTTTACACGCCACAAGGGATATATTTACTAAACCATATTTGTAAATTATGCTTTTACCGGGACCCAGGAGGAGGATGTTGGTGGAGTTTGGGTCATATTATCAGTTTGGCTTCAACTTTACACGGATACTGCAGACTCTGACTGAATTAGGGATGGGCATTCGATGAAATTTTCTTAATCGATCGTCGGAAGAATTAACGATCGATTATTGATTAATCATTAACGTTTTTATATTAAAATTATCATCATTATTATTACTATCTGCATAAATAAATTCACCTTTACGACATATAAACCGTAACGACTCTAGAGCCACATCAGCCCATTTTAGATTATAATGTGTTTAATTTTGCGCAACTCTCACTTAAAACCGCATGGCTAATTTGCATAAACTAAGTGAAGATAAAACTACAGCTCTTGTGTCGCTGATGCGGTCAATTTCTGCTGGACTAAAAGACATGACTCAGTGGAATACAGGTTAGTGTGACCAGATTTGCGTTTGTCAAAACCAGGACACCGTACGGGGGGAGGGGGGCCGGGGACTCATCATGGACATTGAGCGACTCTCACCTGGAAAATCTTTCCCACTGGACACAGAAACATATATGCTGCTTTATACACTGTGCACAAGGCCGCACACTTGTCCTGAACGCAACGGAAAGCGTGGAATTTCTTGTACAAATCATCGTTAAATACGCATTTGTGCTTCGATACGTTGCAGGCGGGCTGACCGACTCTGTGTGTCTGCTCGCTGCTTCTGAGTGCAGAGACACATGTACGGACCCCTGTTTGGTCACACTACACACAGCAACCTACATTCGGTTGGTCGATTAAAATGAACGTAATCGATGAAATTCTGAATGATCAATTATCGATTAATCGACTAATCATGCCCATCCCTAGACTGAATGTGGATTTATTATTACGCACTTTACCTTTCAGACACTGTAAAGGCCCTGCACCAGACACTTGATGTGTTCTTGGGTGGAAAACAACAAGTTGTTGGTTGTTGGGTGGTATACAGTAAGTTGCATGCTGTTTCCTCAGCTCTTCTGTTTTACAGGTAAGATGACACAAAGCTTTGTGGGACTATGCTTAACGTGAGTGCTGTTTGTGCCATTGGTTTGTGCAGAGCACAGTCAAGAGAGCAACTGCACTGTTGCTAAATAACAGTGACGAGCAAAATTGCCCGTGCCAATACTAACAAGCTGTTGGACTTCCAACGACTGTGGGAAGGCATGTCTAGCCCCACTTCCCACAAGCCAGTCCCATGTCCTAACTGTGCCAGACCCCCTTTGGTGGGCAGTATCCCCAGCGGTCCACATAGGACCCCTAAAACGGGGCGAGGCAGATCGCTTTACTCAATGGAAACACTCAGGGTCCACTCACGGTACTGCCCTGTACCGCGCCTATGGAAACGAGGCAAAATTAACTTGTAATTACTCTGGACTAGTAACTTTAGGATGATGCGGCAGACTTTTAAATTCTTACAAATTCATACAATACAAAATCTGAGGATATATTCTGAGTTAAAGAATAAAACAACAGTAACTTACTCAGTCGTGACAAACATGAGCTTGGTTTTGATGTACTTGATGTAAGGGCTGTTTTCTGAAAGAGAAAAGACAATTAAACTTTATCATGTATTTTAAAAACACTTTGCTTTGTGGCCTCTTAAAACCAGTTTTACAAAATCCCTTCACTCGCCCACAAACAGAGGGGTGTGAGGCGAGCTTTCATGGAGAAGAGACCCTCCATCAACCACATCACTCCAGTCCTCCAGCAGCTCCACTGGCTCCCAGTTCACTTCCGATTTCAGTTCAAGATTCTATTACTCACCGTTAAATCTATTCATAATCCATATTCCACACATTGCCACTCCCTCTGCTCCTCTCTCCAGTTCTCTGTCCCCTTTGCTCCTCCTCTCTCCTCCTCCTCTCTCCAGCTGTCTGTCCCTTCTCCTCCTCCTATCTCCAGCTCTCAGTCACCTCTACTTGCCTCATCACCATGGAGAGCAGTGCATTCAGTCACTCTGCTTCCCAGCTGTGGAACTCACTCCCGCTCCTCAGTAATCTTGATTCATCGCTAATACACAAATCTCAAAACCCGTATATTAGCCTAGCCCCATTATTGCACTGATGTTTTACAACCCATCCCATATTGTTTGATTGTTTTAAATTGTATCTTAATTGTTGTTTGTACGGTGTCCTCGAGTGCCTAGAAAGGTTCATTTAAATAAAATGTAAACTATTCTGCATTGTCAGCTGTTATTCCTATTAGTGGCTGATGATTCTGACACTTGTACACATCCTTGCATGCGGTTGTATGTAATGTGCCCCCTCACCTCCGGACTTATCACTGTAGTACTTTCCAAACGCCTCATCTTTGGGTGTGTTCGGATAAAGGAAGAGCAGAGGGTTTTCTGGCACGTTGTCCATCTCCATCAGCTGGAAGTTTCTGATAATTTCGTGAAAAGGAATCTGCTCCAGGTCGTTCTTGGTGAAAGGTCGAACTGTCTTAATCTCAGGCTCACCTAGTTAAAAGGAGTTAATGATGAAGGACGGTCAATGCCAAAATAGATGAAACGCATATCTACAAATTGGCTTTAAGTTTCTTTTGGCATAGGTATTTCAGATAAAAGTTTTCAAATGTTAAAATAATGTCTGCTTTTACTGAATATCCCTTATAAACTAGACCAGCGTTTCCAATGAGGTATTTAGGCGCTGCTGTTCCCTCTGATTTTAGCAACGGGAATTAACATTTAGAAAGTAAACAAATTAGGTCCTTATCTCCTGTGAATGCTATGTGCCATGCCATGTGTTTGCTGTGAACAGAATTTGACAGCAAAATACAATGACAATTTATGGTCTTCGCAAATCCCATAAAAGTCTGGAGTTTTATTTATGATGCAAATAAATGACCAATAAACAAATGAGTGTTCAGAGAAGATGACTTTGGATTAGTGGATTAAAGGTTCTATATTACACAAAACTGATTCTTGTGAGCTATAAGCCATGTTATAATGTTGTTACCTCAACAAAAACATACCTGGACTTGTTTTTTGCTTTATTCACATCCAGTACATTTAACACACAAGCCATGCATATTTAGGCTGTCTTCATCTATCAAACTGAAAATGGTCTGTTCCACTTTGTAATGTCAGGGGGTAATCATTTATTTATAATCTTTAGTTCCGCAGAGATTGGCAATTCCAGATCTGCAGTTACCTACATGATTCTGGTGAAGGTGTATGTAGTTCAAAAAACATATTTTCAGGTTGAGAGTAGAAGACAGCCTAAATATGTAGGGTTTGTGTGTTGACATGTGAATGAAACAAAACACAACTCCAGGTATGAAACAACACTTTTACATAGCTCATAAAATAGTGTAATTTGGGCCCTTTAATAAAACAAGCATGAATGAAACAAAATACAACTTCAGATGTGTCTTCTCTCTATTGAACAATATATTATTATTTATTACTCTTATTCATCTCTATTCTTAAAACCATTGTCCCTTTACATTTACAATGTATTTTTTACTTGCATTTTGTGATCATCAGAACCTTAAAAATAAATTTTTTCCCTTTTCACTGAAACATTTCTTGCCTTGAATGGAAGAAATGTAATAAATATAGTACATAAGCATGGACAATTTCAATTTGAATATAACCACATATTTGGGTGAAGGATAAATTTGGAGGGGCAGGTCGAAGAAGATGTTTTTGGCTGGACTCAAACCCACAACCTCATGGCAGGAGGGTGATAGTGTCACCTGTCCGGTGCACTCTTGTAATTTAATATTTCTGTTTACATTCACACTTGCCTTATTTTGGTCTTGGTTTGAGCTCCATATTGTCCTGGTCTATTTCATGTTTAGTTACAGGTTTAAACCAGTTTATTCCCAGTTTTGACTTTGTGTTCTTACCGGTGAGAGTGGTTTCCACCCAGGAGAAGGTGATTCCTCCGACCATACTTTCACTGAAGCGAAGTAAAAAGGTCCCTCTCTGTTTTTTCTTCAAAAGTGATTTCTCTTTTGCCTTAGTCACAAACCCCATGATCAGACTGAAAGGAAGAGAAGAAAATTATAAAAGAAAAACAAATCCATTCAGAAAAATTAAGTTAATTTTCATTGGAACGTACAAGGCTGGGTCGTTATAATAAGTAGAAGAGGTAATTTTTTTGATTAGTCGACTAGTCAAATGGGGGAAGTTGTTAATGTGAGTATAATCATCCCATCTGTACATTTTGTTATTGTTAATTGTAAATCCCATTTAAATGCATGATGTCACAATTTTCTACTGAATTATTTTACACTCATTCAAGGTAATTACATTATATGACATTATTTATTTATAACAACAGCTTTTTCTTTTAAAAAATGGGAAAAGGTGACATCATGTATTTATTTAGAATCATCATTTCATTTTTGAACGTTACAAGCCAATAAAAACTATATGCGTTTAGTCCACTTACCCATCTCTCCACAAATCTGCCAGATATTGTTTCACCATCATCAAAATGCCATCAAACCACACCCAGAATGTAATAGGGGAATTTTCCTGTAAAGAAAAAAAACATATAAATAAATAAGATAAATACAAATACAATACAACACTGAACAAACTGCTAATTTAACTTACTTTGCTAAATTTTGCCCAAGATACCATCAGGTGGTTATAGCTTTGTTGCTTTCCTGAAATTAAATCAATCATTAAAAATTTGCAATTAAAGGTGCTCTAGCTAACATTTCTGGCGGAAGACCTGCCACTTGCTTGTCTCCAGGGAGATGAAATTGCATTGTCTAGAACAGTCGTACCCAAAGGCAGAAGTGTCACGCACCCTCCCTCCTTATCCAAAAATTGTACAGGGACCCCCAATTACAATGCATACTCAAATCAAAACCATTATGCAATGTTTTCCTCTCAAATGTACTATACATAAAAGTACATATCATAATCTCTATGGGTTTAATACTGATTTAAAGTAGTAAATGAAGCAACATTTTTTTGTAAAGTTAATTTTAAATGCAATTTTCTTTTATGCTTGGGTTGTGTGGTCAACCTTTGGGGCCCCTCCCTGCAGTGACTCTGAGTCCCCCCAGGGGGCTCCGGATCCCACTCTGGGAAACAATGAACTAGAGGGTAACTTTCCAAATAAAAAAACAGAATAAATATAATGGGCATGTGAAATTATGAAAATACTAAACCAACACACAACCCTTTGTTATTCATCACCAATGATGTTAAAATGAAGTAGTGTCAGTCACCAATACACAGTTAATTTAAAAACAATGATAGTATGAGCAACTGCCAAATTACGAATAGAATAAAACTGAAACATGTATGCTTAGTAATATGAATACTGTACACACATACTACATACATATTTTCAACACAGTTGAACAAAGATTATGATAAATGCTGACCTACCCCTTGCATTTAACAGATGGATAGTGATGCATTTTTTAGTGTTTGATGTGAAACTGATTAATCATATATCAATAATATAATACCATAGTTTTATTACTAGTTAGTTAGGAGCCAAAGGACCAACATCCAGGACTCCCAACCTCCAGGACTCCTCAAAACCTGAGGAAATAATTCTTGTCCAGGAAATTATACTCCTGAAGGAGAGCGCTCTGGCAGCGCGAAGAGCTGGAGCGAACAAGGGCCAAGCTTGCAGATCAGGTCCAAATAAGCAATTCTTTGGACTGTAAGCTTAAGACTCAGGAGAAGATTGGCAAAGAAAAAGACTTGGAGTGGAAAAAACTCACTGATACTCTCCAGAAGAAGGACAAGCAACTACAAGATCAAGGAGACATAAGGAGATCTGGTGTCTATATAATTCTGCAGTACAGGAAAATGTGCAACTAAAGCAAAAAGCTTGCCATCTCCAAAAAAATCTGGGGAAAAAAACAATATACTTGGAGTGGAAAGAGCTCAAGCTATTCTCCAGAAGAAAGATAAAAGCTGGAAAACCAAGTTAGAGCGTACAAGGTAAGGAGCTAAGATATCTGTATAACAATACAGTAAGAAACAATGTCCAGTTCAAACAAGAGCCAACACCAGTAAAGTCCATGAGAAGATGAAAGAAAAATTTTAAGTACCTACAATGGACACTCAAAAAACTTGATGTTTAAACAGACATAACCAACAGAGAAAATGAGAAACCAGGAAGGTGCAGGAGTTGTCCTCTTAACTCTTCTCAGCAGAACAGGAGCTATGTCTCATGAAGTTTTGCAAGGGTCAAAAAGCACAGCAATCCAGCTGTGCAAAAGGAGCAGCTGAAGTTGAGGAACAAAGGATGGTGATCAGGTACCTAAAGCACCTCCAACCAATACCCTGTACACTTGCATTATTACAAATTTTAACAATTTTTTTTAAAAATGTGTGCATTGACCTTTTATTTAGTACTACACAATCTCTTAGTCTCTTACTTGTGTCCTTTAAAATGCACATGATGCATTTCTTAGTTGGTTAATTCCATGACATAAAGTTAAAACTGAGCTCAAAGACCAAAAATTTTCAAAAACTCCTCAGTGTGTCAGTCAGTTACCCATAAATATAAACACTAAGTATAGGTGTATGTGCCTGTGCTGCCTCCAGTGGCCACTGCAATTTCAATTCACACTGGATTTCCCTGATTACAGCTAGTAATCAGTCTGGACGTTTGATGCAGGTTTCTGGCTTCAGAGACCCATTACACCAATCACACTACTCCTCATATGTCCAGACTCCAACAAGTTAATTAGTGGTAAGCAATAACATGTCCACGGAGACATGCAGGTGGCAAGCTCCCCACCAAAAAAGTTCCATAGCGCACCTTTAAATTTTTTAGCAATTATAAAATTCATTAACATTTAGTATTTACCAAAAAGTCTAAAAGCGATCATTTCTAGTTGTTCTGCATTCAGTCCACATTTAGTCGCAGAGAGAAACTGCCAACTCAACATCTCTGCAAACTGGGGCCAAGGAGCAGAGGGAGCTGTGGCGAAGAATCTGATGTCCTGTGAATGTAAAATAAAATAAATATACATAAAAAAGTGAGTGATGTAGGTTATGTACACATGACATTAAACCTGTACACATGACAATCAAACCTAGAACTAAGCCAGGATAGGACAAGGATTAGGGTTAAAAAAAAATCCAAATCAGGACTAAACTAAACTAAAGAGTACTATGCCAATATTGCAGGCCCAATCTTTCACCAAAAATCTAATGATATAAGTCTCTGCCCTCCATCTGAAACTATGGCAAGAAGTTCTACAATGCTATAATACATATCTATGTATATTATGAAGACTCACTTTGGTGTCGAGGCTGAGCATGTTAAACCACAGCACAGAGGCCCAGGCGCTCTGCTGCTGACTAGAGTTTGAGATGATCACCATCGGCAGAGAAGACGCCTGCAGAGAAAACAGCAAATAAACATATGCATGGATTATTATGTTAAAAAGAATGCTGCACATTATTTAAAAATAGTTTCTTAGCTCTATACGTACAAATGACAATGTTCAAATCTAGGCTCAAAACGGTTCTGTAGCTATGAATAAGACAGAAATGCTTTTTTCTGCACTCCTCTCTTTTATATAATGATTTTTATATAATATTAATTGTTGTCTTATTTGTTGGTATTTTGATGTTAATGTGCCTTTCTTGTTGCCTTTCTTTACACAGATGTGTGTGTCTCAACAAGACGGAACTGAAGATGTCTTCTACATTTGCTTTTCATCCTAAAGATGATGCCATTTGGTAATACAGGAAGTGCCCCACAGGAAGCATTTTTATTCCATACACTTTCACAATTTGAATAACTTCAGCTCTGGAATTTAAAATCTTTGCTAAACAGGAGATAAAAGTTAGCTGTTAACTTGACATGACATCACAAAGAAGGAACAAAGCAAAGAGCATTTTGAGCTTTGGAGATATAGACTAATAGTTAGCCTTGTTTACATAGGGCCAGCACGGGGTGGACCCTGAGTGTTTCCACTTTATAAAGCGATCGATACCGCCCCCTTTTAGGGGTCCAAAGCGAACTGCTGCAGGTACTACCTTCCAAAGGGGACTGGCACTTTCGAAGGTAGAGACACATGTTGAGGGTTATTCAAACATGTCTGAGTGAAATGTAACACAACTTTGTTTATGTTTGTGAGGAGGTAACAACATTCTAACATGGCTAAAAGCTCACAAGAGTCATATCATATAGGACTTTTAAAGAAAGACCTGATTGTGGACACTGTAGGGAGAAATGTAGTACGGTAGTTTGAACACTGTGAACTGACTGCACAGTGAATCCTGCTTTGTGTCAGTGACATTGCTCGGTATACCCCAATGGTTTCCTGTTTCCTTATGTCCCATAGGAATAACAACCGAGTATATCTGTGTAAAACTTTACCTGCAGCTTCAGTGACATTCCTTTAAAATCAAAAACTGTGTCAAAGTTGAGAATGTGCAGCTCTTCTGTGACACTCAGAGAGATCTAAAAATAACCCCAAAAATGAAGAAATTAGAGTAGTTAATTAAAATGGAAGTATTTTTGTCTCAACTAAAGAAGTGCTCTTTATACTCACTTCACTGGCTCCTTTTCCCCCACCACATTTCTGCTCCTTCAGCGTCTACAACCATAACACAACACAACTTAAGCCAACAATTACTATACTTTACAATATTTTCATAACAAATATTCAAATCTTTCACAAAGTTGTATTCTTATAAATAATATACAAATGAATGTACAAGGTCAATTGCATTCATTGTATTATTAACAACCCAATATAAACAATTTCTAAATCTGTTTTAGTTTTACAAGACACATTTTTTTACACATTCCTAATTTTAAGAAGATATATTGTGCTTTTGTCTGCTATATAGATATAATCTATGACACCCATGGATCATTATGTTGTATTTTGGACATTTTGAATCACAATATTGATCTAAAACCATGGACTGTATTAAGAAGTGGACTAAGAGAATATGAGGGCACCCATAGAGTTCGTCTCCATCCAAATGAAGCTCACAAGGCTAGCAGTTATAGGAGTGAATTCAGAGCCAGGTCTATATTAGGAATAGGAATCTATTTATGGACAAAACAGCAAAATAAAAACACCAGGATCATGTACAGTTGGTTCATATGAACATTTTAAAACCAAAATTCCGAGGTTCACTGCAGCAGTTACAGAGAGAAGGTTGACAATTTTTCATTGTTAAAAAGTTGATTTTGCTAAATAGGCATCTTTAAATTACAATATTTTAGTTTAAAGCATATATTCACTAACCAAGTGTCTGAAGTCTGCCACCATGCCTCCACTCTGGCTCTCTGTCATGTTCAGCGCTTTACTTTTGGTCCCTAGAACATTAAAACGTCGGTATCTAAAACACAAAGCACATGAAGATAAACCACACACAGGGAGGACTTCAGAGGAAATACCACAAAATGTGAAAGGGGAAACTCACCCTTTGATTTGAGGAGTGTCGCTGTGTTTAGACAGGAACAAAAACAGAAAGTTAACCACAAAGTACAGGTACAAAAATACAACGAACCATATTTTGAAAGTCAAAGAGTACAGGTTTGAGACATTGCAAAATTTCACTTTTTTATATAATGCTTCACAGATTTTTTTTAAGTAAATTTCTTAGTCATCAAAATTGGACTGTATTTTTAGATTGTGGTCAAAATAATGTTATTTCAGTATGACCAAAAGATATGTATTTTGGTGTTTACTAATATATCTGACATGAGACTTTTCAGATTTTTTATATGACTTAAGTGTTTTTAAGGTTACAAATTACAAATGAGTGGTGTTGTTTAAACAGGACTGGAACTAATCCTTCCAACTGTAACAGTAAAGTACATTTGTCAAATCCTTTTTTGTTTGCATAATTGGATATCTTAAGACATGAGGTAAAACTATTATCTGTATACCTGTCCATGGACACATCCACTTTCATCAGATGATTCAGTTCTGAAAACTTCACAAGCAGCCTGAAAAACAGTTTGATTTAGAAGGTATCATTGACAAAGTTATTTACAATTGTACTTATTAATTACACATATAAAGACATTCACCTGGCTTTGACTGAGAACTGCACATTGGTCCGAAGCACAAGTGGACCTTTACCCTGTGGCATCGATGGCTGAGTCTCCACCACAAACGAACTACGGAAATAAATGCAACACTTTAGTAACCCTTGGGGGGAAAACATTTTTAAATAAACAAATAGGTCTATTGGGTTATAACTGAAATCATACTTTACATACATAATTATCTACATATGTCAGGAGCAGAGTAAATATTCATTGTTCTGTCATGTCAGAGTAATCCCTCAGTCGTCCAGGTAGGAACCACAGCAAAAGAAAAATTCAATTCTGTCAAGAGGTTTTTTGAGTGAAGATGTGGTGGCCACTGCTTTATAGCTGCATGAAGTAAAAAACTAAATACACTGAAACTGCACTGAAACTAACACACTTACTTATTTAGTTTCTGTTTTTAGCAAGGCCCACCAGCAATTTGATCAGGAATGAGTTGTTTGGATAAGCTGTGAAATGTCTTCACTCTAAAACCTTTGTCTAGTTGACAGAACTGAATTTTTCTTCTGCTAATGTTCTGTTATTCATGTTTTACAACCATTGTAGATTAGATAACACCAGGTTTTGAAGAGCAGAGCAAGTGTTCATTTCATCTAGAGATTTCAGTTGACATTCTAATTCTAAAACTGTAATTGCAATTAAAATTCTATTGATTGCAGTCCCAGGTCATAGTGTTTATTTACTTGAGCAGTAGTTTCTTCAGCAGTGTGTCAGCTCGCTCCTGTAGCACTGGCTTTTCCGTCTTCAGAGGGTCTTTTTCATAAGAGACTTTATCCGACAATTCATCCAGTTTGCTCAGAAACTCTCTCACCTGGAAGAGACACGCCGCCACACAGCTGAACCTAAACAGCAAGAGGATGAGAGCAGGATTTTACCTTGATCTCATTGTTTCAAATTAAAGGTGCAATGTGTCATTTTTCTGATGAATATAACACCACCTGATTGTCCTGTTTTCCAAGGTTATTTTTGACCTATAAATACATCTGTAATGAAGTAAATGCATACTGCGGAACATTCTAAGCAGTTAAAAGTTATAATATTTCCATGCACAAGCATGTAAGGTAAATACATTGAATTATAAGATTGTTTTTAGTGATTACAGTAGTACAGATTCATTGTTTATTGCAAAAAGATTGCACATGATGGTTCATTTGTTTTTTGGTTTTCAGGTGGATTATCCAATCAATACAAGCAAAAATTATATACATATTATTGTTGAAGTGAATATGACAGGTTTTCATGTTTTTTCCAAATTGTAATTGATTTGGTGAGATAGTACTATAAACTGTATACAGAAGTGGACTAAGTGAGAGTGACATCACTCATAGCATTCAAATGCACAGTTACAGGGGAAAATTTGGAGCCAGGTCCTATATTATGAATACAAAATAGCAAAATAAAAACAACAGGACCATGTAGAGCGGATTAAAGGTTGTATGGAGGATTTTTTTTGTTTCAAATTGTCAATGATAGCATTATAGAGATGCAGTAGCCTTGTAATTATGATGACCAAAAAAAAGAGAATAAAAATTCATCAACTCTGGACGTGGTGGGGCCAGCTAAACATTTGCCAATAGATAACGACACTGCCTCGTTATCTGTTAGCTGACAGGCTGTCAATCAATCTCCCTACGTTTCTAGCGTAACTGACTTGCCTGCGCGCCGCCGGTACGTGGTTTACGTACGCCTGTCACGCAGTCCACAGACGCAAGCCGCACAGACGCTGTTTACTCCACCAACGCAACAGTTCTTAGCGGCTTTTTTTGACCTATATCTTCCTCGCAGTTAGCACAAAGTTTGTTGCAATGGCAGACAAGAATCCAGGAGCAGTTAGCCGCAAAAGAAAGTCCGTTTTTGAGATCGCTGAAAGAAGAAGACAAGGGGAAAAGAAGCGAAGCCAAACTAAGGTGATTCTTATAGATTCATTCCAGCGATGGCGCGACTGAAGCAGACGCAGGGTCTAAAGACTGACGCATTGGTCGCCAAATTACTCCTGGACAGGTCACTTCTGCTTATTATGAAAACGTACTTTATTTCCAAGAGCTAGTCAAACGTTTTTCAGGACACGAAAGCGATATCCTATGTCTGAAAACGTAATTTTCAAGGCAAAGAAAGAGTCCGCTTGCTGCTGCGTGTTGTAGCTAGTTCATTCACACGGAATCTCCGTGCAACCTTCTCTGCACCCCTTTCCTGCTCCTGTCCCCGCTGCCCGTTCCGCTCTTCCCCCTGCTCCTCACTTCTCCGGGCACGGAATCTCCGCGCACCGCTCCCCTCTCCTCTCTCCTCTCCCTGCTCCTCACTTCTCGTCCGCGAACGAAATGTCCGCACACCCGCTCCCCCCACTCCTCACTTCTCCGCCTTGCCTAACCAACACTGTAGTTAGTTGTTTACAAGTCATGTGCAGCGCACCGGCTGTAAACAAACCTGTTTCTGGCGTAAAGAGGAGGCGGGAGGAGGCGTTTCTACGTAGGGAGCTGTAGGGGAGGGGGGGTGGTTTCACGCATGCGCAACATTTGAAAAAGGACAAACAGTTGCTGGATTTCTCGTTCCTTGGAAAATCCTCTATACAACCTTTAATACAAACATTTTAAGACTAAAATGACAAGGCTTTCTGAAGCATTTACACAGAGAGGGGTCACTATATTCCAGTGTAAATCAGTGGGAGCCAGGGCCAGTAGGAGCTGGAAGTGCCCACATGCGAACTTCCTATTTGGATCAACGTGGCTAGCGCATTAGTTATGTCCATTTATATACACAGTCTATGGATAGGACACGTGGTAAATATTTATCATTATTTTAAGTGTCAGTTTGTGGGGAAAAATTGACATGAAAAGTACAAAAACACAGGAACGGAATCTATCTATTTGAGTCATCAACAGTGAAAAGTCTATGTAAAAGGCAGACCCATTTTAGGCACAAGGAAAGCATTTCTCTGAGAGTTTAAAGATTGATGTAACAAAATAAAGGTGCTGTCCTCTATTTTATTTGACTAATCATGGCTATTGTGTAATTTAGATTTGTTATGTAATCTGTTTTGGCCCTTGTTAACATAATGGTTGCTAGGTAATAGAAATGGTATTACCTCTAGCTACGTCAGATCTGCTGCCTGTAATCAAATATGTTGTCATGAAAAGAACTTTAACCTGTCATATCCACCTTAAAGGTGCACTGCGCAGCTTTTCTGGTGGAGGGTACGCTTCCCACATGTCTCCATGGAAATGTTATTTCTTTGTCTAGAATGTATATAGTATATGTATATACAGTATAGATTAAATTTATCCATCACAAGGGAGACAAGAAGGTTACAGCACTAGGCTACATTACAAATCAGATCTGTGGAGAGATTCAGGATTCACAAAAAGAATTATTGTATTTTTGAGCTATAGAAACACCTGTGATGAATAAATGTTAGATGAACATGTTTCATGTCATACCATGGACATACATACATGTAATTAAGGAACATTCCCGACAAAGCAATAACATCTCCATGGAGACAGAAAAGTTGTGCAGTCCACTTTTAAGTCATATATTATTACAGCAGCTATGAACAATTTGGTTAAAAAAAATATGGGTAGAATATTATATAGATAGATACAGCTGATGTCATCAACATATCCCGGGGGTGTGTTGCTAATGTTAGGCAAGATCTGCCTAAGACTTGTTACACTAATCGTATCTTTATTTTAACCCAATCTAACCATAAAAAACTGTCTTAGTTGGAACTACAAGAGATGATCGGATTTTACTATTAAAAGTCCCTCTCAAATAGCATTACAGTCACAAGCAAGCTAGCACAGTTTTTCAAATGCTTACTCCCACCCTTTTGTAGAAAATTATACACCTAACCAAGACCATGAACACACTCCTGAAAATTTGTTATTTAAATCCATTTTGTATGTGTTTGTTAAGGTGTGCATTGTGTCACCATGGTAACTGCTGAACATTTCACCATACACAGACATGCAGAACACCCCCAGCATCATACTACTGCAAAGTATCTCTAACAAAATCCATTTACCATTTCTCGAGCAGGTCCAGACTGACATTATCTGGAGCACCAATGCAGGATTTCTGTTGCCTGCGCTGCCAATCCACCAGCTCCTTCTTCACCAGAGTCTCGATCAGGTCCTCAGCTTTGTCCAGGATCTTAAGTAAACCAACCAGCGTCCTCTGAGCAAATGTACAGTGAAATAGGGATGTCAAGAATATTTGGTTAAGGCTATGTTGTTATTAGTTTAGTTTATGGCCTGTATGCATTTCTTGTACTCTCCTGTACTTGTTGTTTTCTTTTATAGACATTACAGATAGTTGATATTCTAAATTTGCATTCCTTCAAAACTACAATTCTACAATTACCTTTCACTAGTCAATATATGGCCCCTCTCTTATAGGCCCTATTCATGGAGCAGCTTGGTTAGTTCCGGATTTCTCAAAAACTGTGGATCCACATTTCCCGCTCCATTCCTTGTGTATTGGGAATTACTGAGTCTTGCTAAAATAAATCTATATTTAAATAGCAGATAGCAGACAGCAGGTTACACATGGATAATCACAGACAGCATGTTAAGACTTTGACGACGTGTATAAAAATCGGTGTTTGTGTCTAAAAGCTAATGCTAACCTAATCTAAATCTCAAAATGGAACACAAAACAACATGAAAATAAATGAGAAGTCCATTGTTTTTCTGTGCAAGATCACCCAGATCATAGCACTTTTTAATAGCAGTATATTATTTTAATTTCAGTTAGCACTAACTTTGAGACACAAAGATCTACTTTTCTAAGCAGAGAAGTTTCCTCTAGTGAAGTATTTACATCATAGCAAAGCTGTCTGGGATTTGTAACCTGCTATCCTGATTTATTTGAGCAGGACATGGCTAATTAAATGGATTAATGAATGGAGCAGGAAGTGCAACTCCGCTGTTAAGAGAAAAGTGGGAGTAGCTAGGTGGCTTCGTGAATAGGGCTAACTGTGATAGATTTAGTCAAAACCACATTTAAAAACAAACTTCAATTTGCAACTTTTCCATCCTACCAACAAGCAAATATTTGAAAAAGTTATACTATTCTTACCTTTCTACAATTGTTTAACTGATTCACAAGAGACTGAAGAGTATTCCATTGTTTCTGTTTTTCATTTTCGTCTTTCACAGCTGCACACATTTCCAGAAAAGTTTCCATACAAAACAAAAGACAGATGAACAAACATCTGAGTCATATTTTAGTCATGTCGGAAACGCCGCGGCACTCTTACCCTCCATTCGGTGAGTCTGGTATTTAAAATCAAACTCATCTTGCTGCTCTTCCAGACAGACAATAGTATGCTCCATGCACTGTCAGAAGAATAAATAAAAATTACTTTTAAATGATATTACTGAAGTTGATGCACATTTAAAGATTTAGACTATAGACTTTTTAGAATTAAGAATTTTCAACATTAAGTTGTAACACAAATTGTCATCCATGTATGTTCCACAGTGGTCCATGGACATATACCAGTTTTATGTGTGGTGGTTTGTTCTGATACAGCTCAGGACAATTTTAAAGCTGTTCAGAAAAGATTAATTTATCTCCTATAAATGTGACTTTTTTCTGTACTTGCTCAAATTATTTATTTCGATACTAGTTTTAGTCTTTTTTTAGTATCTGATGTACATAATAACACATTAGTTCAACAGAATTTGGACAGAATACAAAATCCCAGTGATAAACTTCACCTGCACTTCATTCCTGAGCCCGGCCATCCTCCGTTCAAGGTCCTGCTGACTGTCTGTCTCCATTGTCTCCTGCTCCACACACAGCTGCCGAACCTAATGAGAAGAAAACACAGAAGATGAGAGTGAGTGAGACTAGAGGCCCTGAGAGCCTGATAAAACTCAGTGATTTATCTTTCAGAGGGAAGGAATTCAAGCAGGTTAAAATAATGGCAATAGAACTGTGGTGGTTTTACATTTAAGTTATGAGTCAAACATCCTAAATTATATTACATATACATATTATTATTAATTATACAGTCAAAAACTATTAGGAACATCTGTATTTCACTACTGTTTGTGCCTTTACAGTTTCTTAGTGGAGATTTATCATTAGCTAATTCATAACAGTCAGTAATAATAGTCACTAGATTCAATTAATTATGACTTTTTGGCAGCTAACATTGCATAAACTTTTAACAGAAGAACAACTACTGTACGGTGTCAAGAGCTACTAATAGAAATCAGAAAGTACTAAATTACTTTAACAAGACAATTTGGAATCTAACTGAAATCATGTAGAAAGTAGAAAGTCTAAAAAGTGTCACTTCCAAATATTTATGTTGGAAATTTGAAATAGAAAAATATTAATTGGGTACTTCTTAATCATCCATCTTGACAAATTTTTGGGAAAAAATATTTATTAAAAAACACTGATTTGTAGTAATAAAACAATATTTAAAAGGGTAATTGTAAGTTATTATACACGGTCTAAGACTTTTCTCCAACCTTTTCATTCAACTCGACACTCTGCAAAATCTCCTTTTCTTTTTCCAAAAACCATGATATCTTTCTGGCCAGTATGCATGGTTCTTCTTGATACTTCTGCAAGAAATAGATAACAAAATACATTAGGTCAACATTATAATATTTGGTCATTTTGATAGAAGCAAATGTTATCCATATTGACCTGAAAGTTGTTCTTATATCTTCTAAAATTATGTTGCATCAGAAAGAATTCCTCTTGTAGCCCAAATCGACTGTGTTGGATATCTAGATTTTCCAGAAGTTGTTGGAATAGCAAAATGGCCAGTCCATAGTCACCAGCAGCTCTTTGCCTAAGAAGGAAAGAACAACACATGTAAATAATTCTTCATCTGATTTTTTGCATGAATAAAAATAGAAACAGGGGAGAAGGAGGTGGCGACTTACCAATCTTGCTTCTCTATCCAGACGGAAAGGTAATGCCGCACGTCCATAGGCAAATCATCTCGATCGTAAAGTTCATGCAATTGCTGCGTGTAAACGGGGGCCATGAGGTTCTCCCATTGAGTCATGCTAATTAAATAAGAGATAAATGTAAGACAAACACAGACTGGGAGTGGAAGATGTCAGCCGCAGAATTCAATGTCCTAATAATAACCGTGCCATAACAAGGGACATAGTACAAAGCAGTCTAGCTAGCTCACTTTTACCTTTGTATAACAAAAATAAACAACTAGTTAACATTAATATTTATAGTAATGTTAGGTTTTAATACATAATAACAGAGTTGCATAACTGTAGGCTATCAGACGAAGTAAAATTTATATTAAAGGCAGCTAACATACCTGATTGTTCAAATGTCACTCGTTACCAGACTGTATACCACTAATAAACGTGAGCAATGCAGAAAGCACAGCATAAATGTCGCGTATTTCAGGTGAAATGTGACTAATATGGAAAGTTATTTCTGTTCCCGATAAATGTCGATTGCAACTACATCTCGCAGGCGTGTGACTGTTGTTTCCTTTTACCTTGACCGCGATTTCATTGGTTACTCATTTGACCATCCCCGGTGAAATACAGCAGCGAACATAGGGCGCCATTTTGGATCTAACAAACAGCTTTTGATGGAAACTTCAGAGCCAGAATGTCCGATAATGGGGTGACAGTTTCTTGCCTACCAAAACAAAGGTCGCTGATTGGTAAAGCGCAACGCCTTTCTCCAATATTACTGGTTCGTTCTCATGTCAATCTTTTTTGAAGGGCGGGGTTACGCGAAAACGAAACTTATTGCGCTTCTGAGTGCAAAAACAACTTCCAAGAAATGACGTTGTGAAAGTTAAAAAGCATATGGGATCTGGTGGCGTATGGACAACATTAAAACATTAGAATAACGGTGTGTGATTGGTGGTTTTCATTTTGTTTCACGCTCGTGTAATGATTTATTTGGAAGAGGTTGAAACTAAATTACAGATACTAATTTCTTAGCGGATCCCTGGATAAGTTGCATAAATTAATAAAACCACCTTCATGTTGTTAAAAAATAAGGCTACATTTAAGTCAGTGCCTTTATATTTTATACCATTATATGAAAAGGGCCTGTGTTTCTAGCAAATGCATAGGCTAAATACAAAGACGATTTAGTAATTTTGGTAAATAATTAGTTCTGGTCCCATATTTGCTGGATTCTACAAGCCAGAATGAACAAGAATGCTATACAAACTCTCTTTTATGTGTATCATACATGATGTTGAACGTCATTTTGCAGTTCAAATAGTAGCCTCTAGATGCCGTGTCTACTCTAAATTTTGGCTGGCAATAGACTGGCAGTAGACTGGCAGTATTCCTGGGTTTCAAATGACATAACAAATGGCCTATAATATTTAATACAGATGAGGGGTAGGTAAGATTAATAGTGAGCAAATGCAGATTTTTGTTAAATGTTAGATTTTTGTTGTAATATAATGAATTATTGGGTCTAGTCAATAATAGAAATCAGGCTCAACATTTGTGCTTTTATCTTTTAAATATTTCTTTGGAAAGTACAGTGGAAAACTTGTCTTGCCCCCCATCTGAGAGTATGACATCGTCACATTTTTTAATCTGACCTAAAGTAAACTAATGACTAATGTGGAAAGGCTGACCAAAAACCACACAAGTTTGGGTGTGGAAAATAGTGCATGTCTGTAGGCAAAAGAAACAATAACACATACAAGTTTGTCGTTAATAAGAGATTTTACTTAGAAATATTGTAAGCTTACAGTATAAAAACAAAATACACTGTTTCATAAAAAAAGGACCAAGATTTTTTTATTTTATTTTTTTTAATAGCTCTAGTCTAGCCTATAGGCATAACAGTTTGGCCTGTACATTTTCAGACTGACTAAAATGTGGGAAAGTGCATGAAAAGGAAACCCAGAGAAAGGAATGTAGTTGTACAACAATTGTGCACACAAAGTAAAAGAGCTGTTTGCAAAACATCCATTGAACATGTCATACCTGACATGTTCAAATGTTAGTTAAAAGCTCAGTTAAAATAGACAAGTAAAGAAATGTAGAACTATAAATCATAATTATGAAAGAAATATTTCACATATTTTCATTTTCCTGAGGTGTTGTAATTTGTTTTCAGCTTTTCTATTACATGTTCTAGATGGTAGAACCCTATGATTCCGTGGAATGAATTGATAAGTTGACGGCAAAATGTTTTAGTATCAAAATCCTCATGATAGTAATCTTACTCATCTTACTATTTATCAGAAACTTGCACAAAACCTTAATGGACCATAACATTTTCCACAAAAGTCCAGAAAATATTTGATCTGTTTATAAGAATACACTGCACTATATTTGCAGCCTCTTTTTAAAGGGCCTGTACCCATTTTTTCCATTTAGACTATTTGAGCAAAATGAACACTGACCGTCTATGGTCTTGTATCAGTTCAGATATATTGTATAAGCAGCTCTTGATGTCGAAATATGTCTGTGTATAATTATACTGCATTAGATTGTTCCGACAATCAGGAAGTGTACGGTTAGCATGCTAGTTGTAAGCTTTATCATGCTGGCAAAACTCCACACTGGTGTCAGAAAGTTGACGTGGAAAGCACTTATAAACATATTGTGGTGAGTAATTAGGGTGCTCTGAGTGCATAAGGTAAGCGAGGAATAACTTTGGACCACTGCAAACCATTTCAATGAACTAGTTCTGTTTTGCACATTTTTAAGACAGTAAAACTCAAGTACAGCCCACCACCTATAAATAAAAGACTGCCAAATCTGTACTTGATATCTCAAATGTAGCATACCTCCAATCAAAAATTTTGACATGATCCATTATCTAAAGGTGCACTGTGTAACTTTTCTCCTGGAAGGTCATCCATGGACATGCTAATGCTGAAATGTCTCATAGTATGGAATGAAACATCTGTCTAGGCCAAGTTACAGGTCAGAACTGTGGACAATAAAATCCCCTGTTATTGAATAAATGCAAGTAACCTACTTTTAATGCAATACTATGGAACATTTAAGGCAAAGCAATAACTTCTCCATGGATACAAGCAGGTAATGGACGCTCCCCCAAAAAGTTATGTAGTGCACCTTTAATACATTGGCTATCTTATACAGGCTATGTAAAAATGTATTTTTATTTATTTATTTATTTTCAGTTACGGCTGAAACACCACAGAATCATCCTCCCAGCTGAACTGATTCACCATAACATCATCCTCCTCCTTCATATTCGTCATCATGTACCTTACTCCAGCTTTGACCCCAGTTTTCAGCCCTGCCCCTAGTGCATATCCCGCTACCCCAGCCGTGCCCCCTGTCACCACCATCAACGCATCTGTGCCCAGATCTACAGCAGACAAAATGGCCCTCTCTTTCGCTATTTCCGAACAATTCACAGAAGCATAGTACACAGCCGTGCCTAAGTTGTACAAAGTGCTAACTGCTGGTATCCATTCCATGACTTTATAAACTTGCTGTTCATTTCTATTGACGCAGTTTTTCCGTGGGCTTCGTTTGGCCCGACTTCCCAAATCCCGACATTGAAGTATCCACGATTCGGAATCAGATGGTAAAATTCGGCTACCCTTTTTCAGTACAGCTTGGTAACTGCCAGGTTGGTCTTTGCTGTGAGCTACACCTGCACATAGCGCCCCCATGTGTTCGCATTGTTGCACTGCTTCTTCCAGACTGCCGCTGGGGCCTTCCATGGTAGACCCAATCAACATAGTGCTGTTCAACTTGGCCCAGTCTTCGCATCTCTCCCCAGAATCTTCGTCTTGCGCCAGTTGCTTAATATTAAACATCACAACGTCAATATTTTGTTCAATTTTGTTTCTTTGGGCAGGGGAAGCCGTCATCTTGGATATCTTTCGCTCCATCAAGCGTTCAAGATCAAGAAGTAATTCATCTGTATCGGACATACCAAGCAGGTTGTACAACTTTTCCACCAAAATCTGTGCATCTTTTTGACAGTTTGCCACCACCAAAACTGGCACCAAACTCAGGCCTAGCAATTCTTGTGGTAACTCATAAGAAAGTGAATCGTCAACAGTGCTAGCCGCTACTAGCTCCTCACAGCTAACTTTGCCTTGGATGTTGAGGTATTGAGTTTGTCTTTGGAGTTTGGCTTTGAGTTGTGCTATCAGTCGAAGGGCAGACTGACTTCTATCTTGTTTTCGGTTGTTTGCAGATTGGACAGGCAGCTGCGGCCCCAAAATAAGATGATTTCGGTCATTGCTAGCTGCTTCCTCGATGTGATTTTTTTTATGTTGTCGCTTGTTTGTTGGCGCCTGAGGAGGTGCAGCTCGACTCAAGGCCTGGTCAGTCAACAACAGCTGAATGAGAATGAGCCATTTAAGTTTGGACACCATCTTTGAACTGTTACAAACCTGCAATAAGAAAATACAGCTGTTATTTAGTGCAGTGTTCTCAAACGTTTCTCACCAAGTACCACCATATCTAAACCAGGTCTAAAAAGTAGATGTAAAGTAGAGTAGAGGTATTGACAGGCCTATGTTGCACAATATCAAGTCAAATATACTTATTTATTATTGTAAATTTGTTATATTGTATTGTCAGCCAAGTGTTGTATTGAATTGTGAGAAATCCTGTGATTACCAGCACTTTGTCTGAAAATAGTTCTTTCACAAGACACTTATCCCAATTATTCACAGCAGTTACAACCTATGAGGCTGGTTGAAACAAGAGAAGACACCAACATAAAACTCTCCTAATCATCTGTCAAATTGTAATAATGGACTAAAAGAAAAATAATCTAACTGATCTGAACTATTTATATGCACAATCTTGAAAAAAATATATTCACCACAAAGAAATTGTAACGAACTCTTTGGAAACCACCTGCAGCTATTTAAAAATCACTGTTAATGCAAAGTGCAAGTGCAAATAGCTAACACATACACATACCCATCAGCGCTACACAACCAGTAAAAAGTTAAACCATATTATTATTATAATTATAATAATTAAAACATATTACGCATTGTCAGAGATGGGTATTACTCAGTTATATTTACTTGAGTAATATTTGAGGAAATTGAACTTTCAGACTAGTTTTCAGACAACATACTTTTACTCATACTGTAGTAATATTTAGTTTGAAGCAACAGGACCCTAACTTGAGTAAAAATTTTGGTACCTCTTCTTTTTCATTTTCCATTTTGAATAATTCCACAAGTGAACTTTATATTGACAGCTGTAAATTATTTGAACAGTTGTGTTTATTGTACTGCTACTTCAGGTATGATTTAGTGTTTTTATTTTTTATTTCTGTGTCTATCATCTGAAGATACAGTATTTATTGTTATGTCCTTTCAATTTCATTTACTTCAAATTATCAGATGTTACATCCTGACGATTACTATTTCAATAATTTTTACTTGACCTCTAATATTGCCAAATACTTTTTACTCTTCTTAAGTCATTTCTTGGGTCACAACTTTGTATTTTTACTTGAGTAGGCTAATATTACTTTGAAGTAACGTTTCGCTACAACTGGTATTTTTCTAATCTAGAAACAATGATTCTCATATGAATCTAACACAGGGCTGGGCAAACTAAGGCCTGGGGGCCATATGCAGCCCTTTAATCTTTTTAATGCGGCCCGTCAAACTTGAATAATAACTTTAATAAAACTTCAATAAAATTCCTATTTATTTAAATGACTTTTAAAACACAGAAAATAATAATAATAATAATAATATTATTATTATTATTAGTCATTTCAATAAATAGTAAATACTGTGGGACATGAAAGACAGATATTATGTTGTAATACTTTGTAATGATTTTCAGTAATGGGACATTTCAAAACATGGGGAATTTTTTCTCTTATGAGGTGGATTACCAAAAAATTCAGTCCATCTGCTTCTGGTCCGGTCCTTCCATCACATTTTAGAACCCTTTGTCGCCCACGAATCAAAAAGTTTGCCCACCCCTGATCTAACACATGATCTAATCTGTACACATGAATCATTTGACAGTGGTTCTCAAATGGTCGGACATGTACGGATTCTACTGATTCTCAGAATATACCGTAGTAATAGTAATAGTCCTGCTTTAGCTCTAATTTAGATCTGATGGCAAAATATTTTCTAGTGGCTTGTTACTTTGAGAGATATTTATCTATAACATAAGCATCATTTTAATTTTTGTATTTAGAGATCACATTTGAAACAACCTCAAATGGCAACCACAAGTGGCAATAGGAAGGAAGTTTAGAATCAAGGATAACAAAACATCCCTTTGCTACACTTGCTAGTCAGAAAATCTTTATTACCAATGTTAGTAAACAAACTAGGAATGTATTAATAGCCAAAAAATAGGCTACTAAAATATAAAATAAGGTGCATGTAAAATATGATTTAAGAAATAATACAACATTTAGAAACAACATTCTGCTCAACGTTTGTTAAAATACAACTTGAACCAGACCTATGGGTCTATTTTTTTAAACTAAGTGCAAATATCACTCATGGTTGTCCTTGCAAATCTTTGGAGAGCTCTGGAAATGTAGTTAGACTTATAAATCAGATTTATTCAAATATGAAATGAAGGAAACAAAACACAACTCCAGATGTTTTTGATGAGGTAACAACATGGGTCAATTTGAGTAATATAAGACCTTTAAAACATGAAAGCACTTGAACTAAAATCACAATCTTCATTCACTTCATAATTCATTACATCTTAACAGCAAATTTAATAAATGTAATCACACTTACGTATCAAAAAAGCCAATGTAGAGCCCTTGTTGTTGGTTTGGGACAGGAGTGCGATGCCTGCAGCCACTCTGTCCCTGTTCTGTCCCCCCTTTTCTTCAAAAACATGCAGAGTACTGGGCTTTGTGTATCGTCCAATCAGAGCGCCCCGTCTGGAGATGGCCTCATTACTTCACATGAACGCACAGCTCACGGCCTGAATGTTGATTCTTTTGGGGGGAAAGTCCATCAGATTAAAAGAAGTGGTTTGTTTGGAAATGATTCTGGTTCAATATCACTCAAAAATGTGAATGGACGGTAAAATTAAACACAACACCATAAGTTTCTGTTTTTTATTCAGGTTGTTTTTCTAGCCTCTACAATATCATATTTAGGCTCACATTGATTTCAGTAAAAACATTTTAGTTAAAAAACAAACCAGCAGCCATTTTACTGTGCACTAACTGGAAGGAAAGGTTGGTTCTAAGTCTGCTTTCCAGAGACAAAGCCAGAGGAGAATCGTTTTTTCCTTGAAGGGACATTAGGACTGTGGAGCACGCTCATCTTTCCTCCTCTTGGAAATTCAATGAATGCTTAAGTGCAGCCAACAGGCACATACTGAATAAAAGCACTAAAAATGAATATTCATGGCTGAAAATAAAACCATGACCAATTATAGACTTACAATATATAAACACTTTAGAATTACAGCAAAATATACAGATTCTTTCAATCATACACTGACATAATAAATAGTCCCACAAACTATTTAGCCTTTAAAGGGGCAGTATGTAATTTTCTAGAGGTGGCACATCACTGTATGATTCTATGGAAATAAGAAGTTAAAAATACACTTTGGAACATTCTCCATGAAGATAGATATGCTTTCTGCCAACAACTTTGAACAACACTTTCATGGAAACAAGCAGAAGGAGGCCAAATAAGAATCAGGTTTCTCCCCACTGGAAGAACTGTCTCTCAGTGTAATAAACAACCAATAAATGAACAACCAAAATGATAAACATGGTTACATACTGTGGCTTTAAATGTAGAAATGACAATCACAGTTTTTTGTCTATGACTCTTGTACTTGACTGAATGTTCAAATCAAATAAAAATCACAAGAGTTCAAATGCAGCCTAAAGATATGTGTTACGTTTGGGCAGTTTTTGGCTTTTCCCTGCTTTCTTTTTATTGTTTATATTTTTGTAGCATTTCTGCCTACTTGTTTTTGTAGGTTAATTATGTTTTTGTAGTTTTTTTTTTGTACTAATTTCCGGCAGGAGGCCTTAAATGCGCGAGCCCGGCGCCGCCTCGCTCTCTCTCTCTCTCTCCTCCTCCTCCTCCTCCTCGTCCTCGTCCGCCGCCGCCGCAGGTACCGGAGCGCGCAAGCCTCGCGCTGGGAGACGCCCTGTTGGCTCCCCTGCTCCATCGTTTTGGTAGCTTTTGTTAGCCGTTAGCCTTTTGTTTGACCTGCTGTCCTGTTTTCGCTTTTCTGTTGGGTTTAGGTTGTTGGTTTTTTTTGTCTTTAGTTACGGGTGCTGGCACCGGCTCCTACGGCCCTGTATAGGGTTGGCCCGGTGTCGCACCCTTTTGTTCTTTTTGGCCGGCCCACCAGGTCCACCTTTCCGTTGATACTTTTGGTTTGGGCACGGATAGGGTTTCTTTTTTTGGGTTTAAACATCTTTGCACAAACAAAAATAAAAGAACTCTAAAATTCTACTTTGGTTTCCGTGTTCCTTTCCTAAATATGTTGGGATTCAAATTTTTTGGGTCCTAACAATATGCTTTAGCAAACGTGTATAAATGCACACTTATAATCTCATGGTTGATGTCACATAAAGGGCACTGTGTACAGTACATATATATGTGACATTAGCTGAATGACAGTGAGGTGCTTGGGGAGTTGGGTGGAGGATGTCTCTTAGGTCCAATCACTGAGGCTGAGGCTGCTGATCTAAGCTGACAACTGTGAGTCGTGACAATCCTCATCAAAATCCCACAGCAATTATCTAATATGAACGACATCACCCGAATTTCCAGTGATGGAGTAATGATGTTTGTTTCTGATGCAAGCGTCAAAGAGGTTCACAAATCTGAAATGTTATGTTAGAAGGGTTTATTCTGACAGTCTCACAAAGGCAACAAACAGAGCTACTCGATTTTGGAAAAATCTAATTGTGATTTTTCTGACAATTTCTGATTTGCAATTTATGTTTTAATAATAGGATTTTGTTCAAATCCACATTTTAAACATGCACTTGAATTGACAAAAAGACTGAAATATAATTAACGGACAAACTAATAGGAGAATCACATTCCACAACATGCTGTAAAAGGTCACAAACAATCCCAGATTATTGGTTGAACAATAAATGACACAACTTTCTAAAGCTATTGTGAAAACTAAACATCACATTCATTTATTTATATTGTCAGAGTGAGTCAGAGAGCAGTTTTTGTTGTAATGTCATGTCATGTCAATGAGATAAAGGCCCTATAATATGCAAAACTTATTCACCTCCTTAAAAACATACCAGGAGTTGTGTTTTGTTTAACACCTCATTAATAATCTGCAAAATTTAAAATGTTATGTTCCACTTTATGATGTCACGAAGCAGTAGTTTTCAAGTTTTTACCTTTAGCAGTAGAGATTGGCAATTCTACTGTTGAAATCATCCAAATGATTCAAGTGAAAAGTGTATGGTACATGAATGTTTTCTTTTTAATACAAGCCTAAACATGCAGGGTTTGTGTGTTAAACATGTGTGAATGAAACAAAACAGAACTCCAAGTATGTTTTTGATGAGGAAACATTAACTGGTAGAAAAAAAAAAAAATTGCAAAAGAAGAGAGATTCACATTGAAGTTCTTTAAAGCTCTCTTTTTTTATTTTATTTCAATGACATGTTTGTGACATCACTGAACTTAAAAAATTGGGAGTTTTAAAAACCTGCAATGAGGATCTCTTTCTTCTTTTGAAACATTAACAACAGATCAGAATGTGGCGGCAAACGAGGGGTTAACAATTTGGAATGTACAATTTTATAATAAATTGTTGCAACAACGCCTCCCCAAATCTAGTTTGGGGAAACAGAGTCTAAATATAAGGTGCCATCCATCCATCCATTTTCTTCCGCTTCTCCGGGGTTGGGTCGCGGGGGCAACAGTCTGAGGAGGGCCTCCCAGACTTCCCTCTCCACACACACATCCTCCAGCTCTTCCAGGGGGATCCCGAGACGCTCCCAGGCCAGCCAAGAGACACAGTCCCTCCAGCATGTCCTGGGTCTTCCCCGGGGCCTCCTCCCGGTGGGACGTGCCCGGAACACCTCCCGAGGGAGGCGTCCAGGAGGCATCCGAAACAGATGCCAGAGCCATCTCAGTTGACTCCTCTCAATGTGGAGGAGCAGTGGCTCTACTCCAAGCTCCTCCCGTGTGACTGAGCTCCTCACCCTATCTCTAAGGGACCGCCCAGCCACCCTGCGGAGGAAACTCATTTCAAGCGCTTGTATCCGCGATCTTGTCCTTTCGGTCACTACACAAAGCTCATGACCATAGGTGAGAGTAGGAATGTAGATTGACCGGTAAATCGAGAGTTTCGCCTTTCGACTCAGCTCCCTCTTCACCACAACGGTCCGATACAGCGACCGCATCACTGCCGACGCTGCACCGATCCTCCCCTCACTCGTGAACAAGACCCCGAGATACTTGAACTCCTCCACTTGAGGCAGAGACTCTCCATCCACCCGAAGAGGGCAAGCCACCTTTTTCCGGTCGAAGACCATGGCCTCGGATTTGGAGGAGCTGATCTTCATCCCAGCCGCTTCACACTCGGCTGCAAACTGCCCCAGTGCATCTTGAAGGTCCTGGCTTGATGGAGCCATCAGGACAACATCATCTGCGAACAGCAGAGATGAGATCCTGTGGTCCTCAAACCGGACCACCTCTGACCCCTGGCTGTGCCTAGAAATTCTGTCCATAAACACAATGAACAGAACCGGTGACAAAGGGCAGCCCTGGCGGAGTCCAACATGCACTGGGAAGAGGTTTGACTTACTGCCAGCAATGCGAACACAGCTCCTGCTCCGGTCATACAGGGACCAGACAGCCCTTAGCAAAGGGCCCCGAACCCCATACTCCCGGAGCACCCCCCACAGGACACCACAAGGGACACATGTGGACTGGTTGGGCAAACTCCCATGAACCCTCGAGCACCCAATGGAGAGTGTAGAGCTGGTCCAGTGTCCCACTGCAAGGACGAAAACCACACTACTCCTCCTGAATCCGAGGTTCGACTATCGGCCGGATTCTCCTCTCCAGTACCCTGGCATAGACCTTACCGGGGAGGCTGAGGAGTGTGATTCCCCTGTAATTGGAACACACCCTCCGGTCCCCCTTCTTGTGCAGAGGGACCACCACCCCGGTTTGCCAATCCACAGGTACTGTCCCCGACTGCCACGCAATGTTGCAGAGGCGTGTCAACCAAGACAGCCCCCCATCATCCAGAGACTTAAGGTACTCAGGACGGATCTCATCCACCCCCGGAGCCTTGCCACCAAGGAGCTTGCCAACCACCTCAGGTGACTTCAGCCAGGGTGATGGATGAGTCCGCCTCTGAGTCCCCAGCCTCTGCTTCCTCCTCGGAAGACGTGACGGTGGGATTGAGGAGATCCTCAAAGTATTCCTTCCACCGCCTGACAGCATCCCCAGTCGAGGTCAACAGCTCTCCCCCCGCACTGTAAACAGTGTTGGTGAAGAACTGCTTCCCCCTCCTGAGGCGCCAGACGGTTTGCCAGAATTTCTTTGAGGCGGTCCGATAGTCCTCCTCCATGGCCTCCCCGAACTCCTCCCAGCTCCGAGTTTTTGCCTCTGCGACTGCACAGGCTGCAGCACTCTTGGCCCGCCGGTACCTGTCAGCTGCCTCAGAAGTCCCACGAGCCAACAAGGCCTGATAGGACTCCTTCTTCAGCCTGACGGCATCCCTTACTTCCGGTGTCCACCATCGGGTTCGGGGATTGCCGCCGCGACAGGCACCACAGATCTTACACCCACAACTATGAGCAACCGCATTGACAATAGAGGCTGAGAACATAGCCCACTCGGACT